GAGTCCTTATATATGATACATATAAGGATAATATTTGCACGTATACATATATATGTACATATATCATCAGCCCTCTGTATTGTGGGTTCTGCACCTATTAAATCAATTAACTTCTGATCAAAAATCTTTAGAAAAAATTGCTCAGGTAACTGTGAATATGTACAAATGTTTTTCTTGTCATTATTCCCTAAACAATACAGCACAACATCTATGGACATAGAGTGTTACAAGTAACCTCGGGATTTCAGTGTATGTGGGAGCATTGCACAGGCTCGATGCACATGCTACACATCTCGTGTAAGGAACTTAAGCATCCTGGGTTTTGCTCTCTGTGGAGTCCTGGTACCCATCTTTTGCAGATGCTGAAAGATGGCTATGTATACAATACTCACATATACAGAGTATCTACCAACCAATTCCTAAAGTTTCAGGGACTCCCAATAGTCCAAGATCCTTAGCCTGAGGTGACCTTAAAACCAGCTGCTTGGGCTAGCCTGGAATGCAGAGGAAATGGGGAGCAAACTGGTTATTCCTTGCTCCATCCGTCGGTCATGCAGTTTCACTTCAGTGCCCACCTACCATCAGAACTCCTCCTCCTTCTGCTGTTCCCCAAGGTCCAGAGGACCCGAGGACACTGAGGCATACTCCAGCTGTGGCTCATGACTAGAAATGTGGAGGCCTTCTTTCCTTTCTGGCCCTACTATTCCGAAAGCTAGTCTGTGGGCCCTGGACTGTGTCTAATCACTGTCCTGTACAGAATCCTTTGACCTCAGTACCCCTGGGGGTATATTTCCTATTGTGCAGATGGGGAGACCCAGAATGCAAGTGGCAGGGAATCAGAGAGCATGTCTGCCTGCCTCTCTTTTCATCAGACACTCTGGCCCCGAACACTGAGGCAGGGGTGAGGGGTCCTACAAGCAACCCTATGCCTCACCCCTCTGGATCCAGGTTTCTGCTCTGGCTAAGATGGGGGAGGAGTGAGACCCAAGTGCCCCCAACCCCAGGATGGGCCTTTGGCAGGAGACAGGGCTGATGGGCCTCTGGGGTCAGAGCCTTTAATTACCTCTGTCCTCCAATAAGAACGTCCATCACCATCATCACGGAGTAGCTGTGAGTACTTATAAGAGATCCCCAAGATTGGGTCCATTGACCTTTTCTCATAGAAGGAAGGGTAGGAATGTCATCAGACCCTCACCTGAGGTCTAAGACACTCCCTCCTGCATTCCCCCAGCCAGCTATATGGAATTCTGCCCATGTTACACATGGTCTTGAGATGTGCTAGAGTATACAGACAGTGGGAGGTTAACTGAAGGGGGAACCCCACCTATGCATGGGGAAGCCATCATCCATGCTGTGGTGACACTTTCCAGTGCTACAGCTGTTTTGGGGTCACCCATACTCCTGTAAGTAGCTCCTCACTTGTGCTCTGTAAGTAAGTCCAATAAACTCATTGATTGGCCAAGTTGGGCTTTGGTCAAATCATACTTTGGTCTGCCACTGAAGCCCTATCTGGAGTGTAGACATTTTCCACATCACCCTGGGAGAAGTTCCTGTAATAGGCCTCAGGACTTCTGGGAGTTTGATTCCTCCATCCAGCTCTGGGATGTCAAGGCCTTAGGGATTTAGAGGCCTGGTCAGGGGTTTCTGGAGGTGATGAAGATAGGCTCAGGGCTGCAGAATGCAATCAATACCACCACACTGGTTTCTTCTCCCTTTGTATGGAAGGGAAACTGAGGCTCAGAGAGGGGACATCACTGCATAAGGCTACCCAGTGGAATTTGATCCTGTCCAAAGCTGGCTCTGCCTTCACTCCACCATACCCTAGACCAAAGGCCCATTACACAGAAGGAGGAAACCAAGAGTCTGTCTGAAGCAGAGTGTCCTACTTTCCCTTTGCTGGCCCAAATCTGGGCAGACCTGTCTTGAGTTGTCTGAAACCCTAACAATATATCTCGGTAATTTATTGGAGGGGTGTTACATTGAGGAAACCATTTCAAAAAGATAAAGAAAAGGAAGAAAGAAAAAAACTGCTTTTTTTGTGGCAAATACTGAGTTCAAAGGAGTAAGTTCCACATAGACCCAAAGGCCTGGCCTGAGCCATTGCAGGTCAGCAGCAGCTAAGAGGCATCAGAAAAGCCAGGTTTCCCTCCTGCTCTCCCAGGGCCTCCAAGCTTTGCCCCTCTAGACCCTTGTGTCACCTTCATCCTAGCTGCCCGGATGGAGGACCCCTCCTCTACCTCCTGACCCTGCAGAGACCAGCCAGTGTCCTGCACTCTGTCCTCCCAGCACAGCCAGACATAACAGTGTGGCTCAGCCAACAGAACTGGACACAGGATTCCAGGTCCCTGACCCAGTTTCTGCCTAGGCTCGAGGAATGCCAAGCTCTGCCATCTGTGCCAACAGCCTGAAGTGACGGTGATGGGTGGGAGAGGCTAGCCACTCCACTTCTGAGCCTGCGACAGTGGCTGCCCCCAGCCTGCCACGGTGCTCCAGCCCAAGGGCCAAGCTGGCTCTGTTCTGTTCTGGGGGCATTGTGAGGCAGGGGTCCTGGGTGGCAGGGCACAGGGGTTCTGAGTAGGAGGCTTGGCTAGCCACTCCACTTCTGAGCCTGCGACAGTGGCTGCCCCCAGCCTGCCATGGTGCTCCAGCCCAAGGGCCAAGCTGGTTCTGTTCTGTTCTGGGGGCATTGTGAGGCAGGGGTCCTGGGTGGCAGGACACAGGGGTTCTGAGTAGGAGGCTTAGGTTAGGTAGGGGCTCTCTCAGCCCTACCAACTGCATGGGTCTGCCTGAGAATATTTTAACCCAGGTCTTGAGGGCTGGAGAAATGACTCAGCAGTTAAGAGCACCAACTGCTCTTGCAGAGGCCCCGGGTTCAGTTCCCAGCACCCTCATGGTGGCTAATAACCTTCTGTAACTCCAGGTCCAGGGGATCCAATGCCCTCTTCTGTCCTCCACAGGCACTGCACAGCACAGGTGCACTTACATACACACAGGAGATACACACACACACACAAAATTAAAAGTAAATTGTTTTTTTTTAACCGAGATCTCACCAAGCCAAGGCTCTTCCTTTCTTTACCCTCCCTGCTTCTGAGTTCCTGTTTCCACCTCTCTATTTAATTCTTTTTCTTCCCCTCCAGCTGTTCTGTCTCCTTCTCTCCTTTTATACTTCTTTTAAAAAAGAAGAAGAAGAAGAAGAAGAAGAAGAAGAAGAAGATGAAGGAGCAGCCAGGCAGGTTAGAAAATCAACTTTTATTTCACTAGCATCTCCCCTAAACATTCCTGGCACCTCCAGACCCCTCTGCAGTTTTTTCAACATTGATTACTCCAAACCATGGGGCTTAGGAAAGAGAACTGGGGGTGGAACCTGGCTGGTGACAGCGCCCCCTCCAGGCAGACTGAGGCCCTGCAGCTCAGAAGGGGAAGGGCATGAGATAATTGAGAGGTTTTTCTGTGCCTCCTTATGTAAGATTCTTAGATCTAGCCTACGTTGTGTCTTATGATGCCCTGAAGGTGCCAGGGAAATTTCTGCTGGCTTCACAACGATGCTGATTGCCACTACTCCTGCCCCATAGGGCAGCAGGAAGCTGTGGTTATAAACATGATTCCCTGAGGCCAGGAGGCCTGGGTTTGAGTGCTGATTCCCAACACCTTGTAGGTGGTCAGCCTAACGCAAGACCTTTAACCTCTCATAACCTCCGTTTTCAAATCTGGAAAATGGGAATAACAGTCACCTCAAACTCGTGATGGCCTTGAGAGGGGATCTAGGGAGAAAAATTATCCATATTATGTGCACAGTGGAAACTGGACCGTTTTCATTGTTTGGTCATTGAAGACCTCACTTGGGAGAGGAAGAAAATTCCTGAATGCTGCCTTGAGGCTCCCACATTAAATACCCATCCCAGTGTTTTGGAAGTGACCTGGGACATTAACTGGTTGTGACTGAGGTTTGACTGTGGCTGGGCCCTGGTCTGCAATCTGCCTGAGCGCCTCTGAGCTCCCTTAAGCCCTGCCTCACTGAGAAGGAGTCTTCCTGCAAAGAGTTTTCCTGCCCCAGGCAGGGCTCAGCCCCTGCCCTGCTTCAGAGCTCTGTCACATCTGCCACTTCTCAAAGTCACTGGCCTCCTCATTCCTGTCCAGCTCCCTGGCTTCCCAGGAAATCCCACCTTCCTCGCTCTGCTCAGACACTTTTAGAACATGTTCTATCTTCCTCTTGGCCTGGAGTAAACTGTACCTCCCCTGAGCCCCCGATCTGCCTCCACTCTTCACCCCCAGGACTCTCCCTCAGCAGCCACATCCCTCTTCCCATGACTCATCTGCCTTTGCCCCAGATGCTCCTTTACCTGGAGGACCCTCACTCACCCCGAAGACCTTCCATCTGTCCTTTCCAAAGCCATCACCTCCTTGAATGTGGCCTCGAGTGTACGTGTGTATGCATGAGGTATTTTTCATCTCTACATTCCACAGCTTTTTCAAGTCTCATGTAGGCAACATTTCTCATTCTGTACTCTGTCCTAACCCTCCAGAAATGGCAGGCAGAGTCCATGGTGCCCAGGTTGCCACAAATCCCATGGTACTGTTGGTGTGTTGCTTTCTCAGTGTGGTGTGACATTGAGTCCCCAGGAAGGAAAGCATCTATTATTTACTTGACCCGAAAGCATTCCTCAAAGTCACCTGTACAACAGACCCTACAGACCCAACAACAGCATTGCTGATCGCTGCTTTTTTGAGTCCACATTCAGAAGCACACAGCAGAGTGACGCTCCAAGAGTCCTTCAGAGAAATGGCTAAGTGCATGCAGATTGCTGATTCTCTGCCCCCAGACCCAAAGTCAAAGTATCTAGCATGCTGCAGAGCTGGAGAACAGAAGCAGAGGGAGAGGCAGGGATAGTTTGGCTCCTGATCTCCAGTGAGCCCAGGACCTGCAGCTGCAGGTCCCAGACCACCCAGCAAGCAATTCTTTGCAAGGTCTCTCTGACCAAGTGAAAATCATGCATTACCTGTGAGGCTCTGTGGCAGGGACACAGGTCAGGGTAACAGAGAGATTTCTCCGGTGTCTGGACTCAGAACATGCCCTCTGAGTTTGCCTCCTGAGCTGGCCATGAACTTCCAGCTGCTGTGCCAGACACTTCTGATACACTCTCCTTTGAAGCAGGGAGTTTATTTTGGGCCCACCTCATGATCACGGATGTCAAGCCAAGCTATAAGATGTTATGAATCTCAGATTTCTCGTTTGAAGACTGCACTGAGGAAGCTGAATCCCGCCTTCCGTTCCTCTGGGGGCACGGGAGACAGACTTGCCTCAGAGAGCATCTTGGGCTTCGGCCCTCACGTGATGTCATCATTTGTGATCCTTGACATGGAGGCCATATATGGGTATGTTTCTAGAACTACCCAGGAGGGAGCTAGAGAGGCGGGAGATGCAGAAAGATGGGACGGGAGTACAGAGACAGAATTGGGAAAGAGTGAAAAGGCGGAGAGAAAGGAGAGAGAGAGAGAGAGAGAGAGAGAGAGAGAGAGAGAGAGAGAGAGAGAAGACACACGGGGGGGAGAGACACAGAAAGAGAGAGAGAGAGAGAGAGAGAGAGAGAGAGAGAGAGAGAGATCAGACAAGGGAGGAAGATACACTGAATGAAGGAACGAGGCATGAAGGGGTCTGCATCAGAACTCCTAGGGAATCAAAGGTCAGTGTTGGATATACAGCAGGTGGCTGAACCTGACATTGGAGTGCCAGGTGTCCAACACTGGATGCTGTGGGGTAGAGCTGAGGGATACAAGATAGGACACAAGCCAACTGACCAACACATAGATTGGGGCAATCCTGGGCAGAGTCAGCCACAGAAGGGACCTGCCCCCAGAAACAGAGTGTCACTGTTTCTGGAATAGGACATCTAAGAGGAAAGTATGTTCCTTCTTTTTCCTTGGATTTAAGGTGGCCCTAGCCATGTACTTAGCAATAGAACACAAAGGACGTGACGTCCAAAGACCTCCAGGCCTAGGTGGGAAGGTGATTTGTAGCTACCATGCTGTGGGGAAGTCTCTGCACGCCACACACAACCAAAGGGCCAGGGAGAGGACGTGCCGAGGGAAGAGCGGACAGGGAAGACGGTGGCGGCAGACAGAGAATGAGGAACTGTTTTGGAAGTGGATCTTCCTCCATCCCCAGCAGCCGCCCCAGCTAATGCCAGAGAGAAACCACCCAGGCTGACCCTTCTTCACACACTCCTGCCCCTCAAAATCATGGGATGGAATGAGGTGGTGGTTTCATGCCTCTGGGGACTGGAGCTATTGATATGGACGGACAACCAGCTTCAAATATCTACTAAGAAGTCAGCTTCAAGGCTTGAGGGGTTTAGAGGGCTTTTTTCTGTATTTTTCAACAGTTGCATACATATATACAATGTATTGGGCTATCAAGACAGCTCAGCAGGTAAAGGTGCTTGCTTTGAAAGCTTGATGGCCTGAGCTTGTTCTGTGGAACCCACATAAAAATGACAGGAGAGAACTGACTTCACAAAGTTGTCCTTTGGCCTCCACATGAGTGCTGTGGCACATGAGTACCCCAATCATATATGCACTAATAATAATGATGATGATAATAATAATAATAAATTTAAATGAAAAAAACCCACTACCCCCTAACCACCCGCTACCCACTTGGGAGTTCTCTCTCTCAAATTGCTTTCCAGGAAAAGGGTGCATCATTCCAGGCCTTCCTGCTTTCCCCCACGTTTCCACAAGAAACAAAATGGATTTGTCTATAATCCTAGCACTTTGCAGGCTAAGGTAGGAGGTTTGCCTCAAGTTTGAAGCCAACCTGGACTATGGATTGAGACCCTATCTCAGAAAAAAAATTCCAAAGAAAGTTTGTTTGAACATGACTGTGAATGCTTGTAATCCTGGCACTTAGAAGGTGGGAGCAGGAGGATTAAGAGTTAACGGCCAGCCTGGGCTACAAGAGATCCTGACTCAAAAAAGCAAACAAAAACTGTTATTCTATTTATTTTTCTTTTCCTGTTTATGGAGGGATGCAGTCCTCAATCGTGCTCCAGGTCTTGTCAGACTGGAAGATTCCACTGTCCTAGGGAGTGTTGTGACTCCTCTAACAGGGAGGGCTCTTGGATGTTGTGTCCAGATCCCTTCTTTCTCATTGAGACCCAAAGAGGGGCTGGGACTCCTTGAAGGTCACTCAACAAATAATGGGCAATTAGCACACTGAGAACTGTGGCCCACGGGATCAGATACTTGCTTTGCAAGGTAAAGCCTCCTAGGACACAGGCAGGGACAGAAATTTCGAGACCCAACTCACTGTGGACAGGTGGTGTGAGCCCTACAGAAAGACGTTTGCTGGGGCAGGACCTGGCTTTGACCCTGCTGCTTCTCTGATCCTCTAAACCCCAGTGCTCTGGACCTGAGCTGATCTGTGTCCCCCGAGTGTGGCTAATGGTTCCAGTCACTTCACAGCCTGCCTGCCCAGCACATGGGATTTTTTCCATCTCTGCATATTATCCACTTCTGTGGCTATTAGCAGTGTTTTGTAGTCATTTTGATCTCATGTCTAATCATACTGAGTATGATTGCCTGGCTTAGTAATTTCTCAAGCCTTCCATGAGCCCCAACATCAAGTCAAATCCAGAGGTGCCTCTCCAGGGGGCAGAAAGGGTGGATGGGAAGTGATGCAGAAAATCATAGGCAAGTCAGCCTGTAGAGGGGCAGGAAGAAGGGTATGGCCCCCTCTGGAAGGCCCCAGGACCCCAAGGCACCCAAAGCATCTCTCCTGTACCACCTCCCTGGTCTGCCCCTCACCTGGCTTTCCCTTCCCTCAGGGCTCAGCCCCCCTTCCCCATTAAGCCCACTGCCCATTGTTTACTGTGGTCTCCCTCACCTACAGATCTTCATCCTCCTGTTCACGGCAGTGCCTGATACATGATGTGTGCCCACTATATAACTGTTGTGTGGATAAGCTCATACTCAAGTCACACCTCTGGGGTAGAGTTGGGAGGGGACTCAGTGCTATTTTCCAGCCCAGGCTTGCCTTGATACTCAAGTCACACCTCTGGGGTAGAGTTGGGAGGGGACTCAGTGCTATTTGCCAGCCCAGGCTTGCCTTGAACGTACGAGAGAGAGAGAGAGAGAGAGAGAGAGAGAGAGAGAGAACTCTTCAGACTTATGTGATGGTTAGTAATTAATTGTCTTCTTGGTGGGATCTAGAATCATCTTGGAGACAAGCCTTGGGCATGTCTATTTTCTAGAGAAGGTTAACTGAAATGGGAAGACATGCCCAAAATGTGGGTGGCACCTTTCCATGAGCTGGGGTCCTAAGCAGGCTGCTCCTTTTCTTGGGCTGGTGTCCTAGGCTGAATACAAAGGAGGAAGTGAGATGAACTACAGCATTCATCCCTCTCTACTTCCTGACTACAGGTAAAGTGTGACTAGCTGTCTCAAACTCATGCTGCCATGCCTCTCCACCATGATAGACTGTAGCCTTGAACTGTGAGCCAAGATGTACCCTTCCTTCCTTAGATTGCTCTTGTCCGGTATTTCTTTTACAACAACGAGAGAAGTAATTAAGAAATTCTGCCATGTTTATGTATTATAATCTTAATGACTAAAAGTGTGTGTGTGTGTGTGTGTGTGTGTGTGTGTGTGCGTGTGCTTATGCATGTGTGTATACTGCGGGGCCTGAGAGGCCACATCTAGCAGGACCCAACAGAGGAATGAATTTTCTTTTACCAATGACCTGGCTTCCAGGGAGGCTGGAAGGAGACAGCATGCAGGAGGAAGAGCCAGCCAGGGGCCACGAGAGCTGGGCTGTGACAGTGCCAAGGCCTGGGATGACGTGGGCCCAGGAATGGAACATCATGGCTAAATTAAGCACCCTGTATCCCCACATCCTGGCCCAGTTCTCACTGCTTCTCGATAGCCTAGATGAAGAGAAACAAACAAGATTTTGAGTCTGGCTCTAGGCAGGTTTAGAGGTGGAGAGGGGAGAAGACAAAGGCCCAGGTCTGGGAGGAAGGGAAGCGTACAGGCACTGTGAGCACTAGAGACCACAGAGGTCAAGATGAACTCCGGGGGGGGGCTTATTCTCCACATTGACAGGCAGCAAAGTGACACTACCATTCCCCCTCAAATGCTTAGGAGTGCACCGGGCTAGCCCATACATACAGGACCACCCTGCTGAGCAGAATGTCCACTGTATTCTCAATTTCCAGCGTGTGTCCTGGAAGCAGATGACCCCAGTCTACCCCTGGATTTTGGGGACCTGGCTACAGCCCTGCCTCCTGAGAGTAGTTGTTAGATGGCCCCCTTGGTTTGGTGGGAGAGTCAACGGTATGAGTTCAAATTGTCCCCAGGGCCGAGCTGGCAGCACTCTGAGCACACTTCTTTCTCCTACAGCCACCTGCAGAAGGGAAGGCGTCTCCTGCTGCTCCGGGGGTCAGGGAGCCAAGGCAGTCAGGGAGTCTGAGACTGAATTATCCCAGGGGCTGCTGGCCCTTTTCAGCTGGCCAAGGACTGATCTCATGATGCCTGAGCCACCCTGGGGAGCTCAGTAACAAAATTAAACCCAGAGCAGAGCAGCCCACAGGCCTGGATTAGCTGCTGGGAACAGGTTTTCCACAAACATAAATATGTACCGAGCAGAGCTGGGAGCCCTGTGTTTTCCAGCTGGAGGGACGGCCCCATGCAAGAGCAGAATGCGCAGGCCCAGCTCCTTCCCCTGAGGCCAGCTAGGCCATGTGGGACCCTACCGGTCCTACCGGACACAGCAATTCCTACCATCTGTGCAGAGCTGCACTAACGATCCCCTGACCCTCCTGCATGACTCAGTTGGGGGAAGGGAGGAAGACAAGGACCCAGCACAGCCACCATGGAGCCAGGCTTGCAGGGACTAAACTCCAGACACACCGCGGTCACCCTTTTGGCACCTCTGTAGGGACAGACAGCCACAGGGCAGCCGTTCTGCTTTTCAGCTTCCACCTCCACCTTATTCTCCAGGGAAGCCAAGGGGCCAGAGACGCAGCACCCACTGTGCAGCCTCAGACAGATGTGACACCCTGTGCAAGGCCCTGGGTTCACTGGGTTGCGCATGCTGGGCAATGGGTGTGAGGCAGGGCTGGGGGTGTGAGGGTGGGCATCGGGGTCCCGATGTCCCGAGGGTGGACTGGCTCTTTTTTCCTGAAAGTTGGGAAGAGATTGTGGGCCACTCCTGGCACTACAAGGGAAATGTTGTCATCCTGGGGACCCACCCAGACTCAGCAGTGGTAAGCCTCAGTCATGCACCCTGTGAGATGCAACACATCTTTTCGCA